CAGTTTTCGTTTCTAAATCAATCTTACCTTTCTCGTAGGTCCAGAATTCTTGCTATCAGTTCTCTCTCTCCTGTCACTTTTTTTTTTTTTTTTTTTTTTTTTGGTGGACCCTCGCCAGCAGCCGGGGAACGAACCAGCGCTGCAGAGGCTGCAGGCAGCCTCAGCAGCCCAGCGCGCAACTGCTGCGCCACCAGGGGAGGCCCTCTCCTGTCACTATTAAGATGCAATAAAAGGTGAGGGACTCTTAGAAGCCACATGAACTGATGGAGTAAAATCTGTTTGCCACAGAAATCCAAGACTGATACAAAGAATCAAGAAGTGTCTATATTACATGATATTCACCACTGAAAGTCCAGTTTTATCCTTTATCAGGCCATTTCCCCCTTTTCCTATTTACCCACCCACCAGACCTAAATAAAAACTCAAAAACACTTCTAATATTAAACAATAATTTGTATCTATTCACTCATTTTCCAACCTGTTTATTCCATGTTAGGGTCATGAGTGGCCAGAACCTGTTCCAGCAGCTCAGAGCTACAACAGGAACCGACTCTGGATGGGATGCCCTTCTATAAGCAGGTGCACTCATAAAACACCCACTCTTATTCAGACTGGGACAATTAAGACATGCCAGTTATCCTAAGGACACACCTTTAGGATGTGGGGGGAAACTGGAATACCTGGAGAAAACCCATATAGACATGGGAAGAACATGCAAATTCTACTTAGAAGGTGGTCCCAACTACGAATAGATTTTTTTCCTCGAGTTTATAAGGAAATGTTAAACAAAACAAAGTTATTCAAGAGCCTGCTGTACAATCTCCTCACATCTAAAAGGGGAAGATCCTTGGGCCTCCCCTGGTGGTGCAGGCAGTTGAGCACTGCGCTTGAAGCTGTCCCCAGGCTCTGCAGTGCTGGTTGAATCCTGGCCGGCCGGGGAGGGTCCCACATGGTGCAGCAGATCTCACCTGTCTCGCCCGCTGCTCCCCTCAGCAGTGTATTTCGTCAGTCTGCCTGTTCTGTTCCCCGCTCTGGTGAATTCTCTCACCCTCCTGCGCATCTGGCCTGTCCCCCGGTTCTTGTATAAATAAATAAATAAACAAACAAACAAACAAATAAATAAATCTTTAAAAAATAAAAAGGGAAGATCCTACTGAAGGTGCCTTTGTTTTGATAATAGGATGGGGAAGAGAGGTTGATAAAGAATAAAAAGTACTCTCTTCTAAAAGGAAAGAAAAATCCAGGGAGACAGGAAAGAGTTCATGACTAGAGTAGTACATGTCTTGGGGACCTATGGAGAGATGTGACACCTGCTCAACGGAAGAGAGAAATATGTTTCAAAAGATTTTTAGGGGGCCTCCCCGGTGGCACAGCGGTTGAGCACTGGGTTGCGAAGCTGCCAGCAGCCTCTGCAGCGCCGGTTCGATCCCCGGCTGCTCCCCGGACACCGGAGGAGGGTCCCACATGGCGCACAGACCTCTCCTGCTGCCCGCTGCTCCCCATCAGCAGTGTACTTCTTCAGTCTACCTGCTCTGCTCTCCCCTCTGGCTCTGGTGAATTCTCTCACCCTCCCGCGCTTCTGGCTGTACCCAGTGCTTGTATAAATAAAATAAAATAAATAAATAAATAAATAAATAAATCTTTATAAAAAAAAAATTTTTAGGAAGTCTATTGTATGATTTATGATGTAACTCCCTCCCCCATCTCCCCAAGAAAATATCAGTAAAAACAATATTATACTCTCCTGTGTCTTTGGAATCTTGTCAGGACTTGTATTTTGAATTTTGGAAGGCATCAAGGCCAGCTCAGGATGGCACGGTCAGAACTGGGGCAGTGAGGGAGGCTCAAGGTCATTCGTATTTTACACCCAGCTTGTGTGCTCCAGGATCACGCAACAGAACTCTCTCATTGAGTCAAAGGTGTTATTTGGTCGCCCAGTGGAGAATAGGGGAGAAACACCAGTAAATTGTTGTGGATTATTGCAGTGGGGAAGGATGAAAAATGACTTAATCTGGTACCAGAAACACAAGTGGGGAGTAGTGACTCTCAGCCCCTTTGCTCACTAGTCCAGTGCCAGGTACCTAACTGAGGCTGGGAATGTATTTGCTGATTGGTTGGATCAAATAGAATGACAAGGGGGAGGAATATAGCAATCTGGTGAGTAGGGGATTATTACCCTCATTGTGGAGATGAAAAGACTGAAGCCCGGGCCTCCCTGGTGACTAAGGGGTAAAGACAGCGCTATCAAGCTCTCGCCAGCCTCTGCAGCACGAATCTCTGGCTGGCCACAGTGCAACCCACATGGCACAGCAGACCTCTCCTGCCTCGCCCACTGCTTCCCTCAGCAGTGTATTTCAGTAGATCTGCCTGTTCTGCTCCCTGCTTTCTGGTGAATCCTCTCACCCCCCCATCTCTGGTTTACACCCCAGTGCTTGTATGCATAAATAAATCTTATTTTGAAAAAGGGGGGAAAAAGGCAGGCCTGAAGGTGACTCCATCGAGTTCTCTTTTTTTTTTTTTTAATTTTATTTTTGTATTCCCCATACAACTGCAACCCGCTTATTTTGACCCCAATCCCTCCCCTCCCCGTCCCCCATCCCCCCATAGAGTGTCTCTGGTTCATAGTTTTTTGTTGATTTTGATTTTCACTTTCTTATACTTACTCATTTTCCCATCGAGTTCTCTTGATGGTGGGATAGGTGCCAATGCCCTACTCCTGTTGCTGGATATATTCCCAGGCCCCCTCCCACAATAATTTACATTTGGCATCTCAACCCCGCCCCACGAACCCACACTTCCGCCTTTCGCCCCGCCCATCCCAAGTACTTCCGGCCTCCCGCCCTGGACGCTGCCACCGGAGCGTGCGGTGGTAAGTCCGCGCCAAAGGTCCTGTGAAAGCAGTCTTTGGGCTGGCGACGCGGTCCAGAGCTCTTATTACTCGGGCCACCCACCCGGTCATTACACGGCAACCATTTTCCTTCTCGAACGCCTGAGGCGCTGGCCTGGGGATGACGTCACATCCGGGGCATGTGAGGGCAGGCAAAGCCCGGAAATAGCTCCTGCCCCACCTGGTGGCGGGAAGGGGTCAGGACCTATATTGTCGGTATTTTCGGGTTTTGCACCGGAGGGCCCGGGGTTTTAGGAAAGGCGGTATCGAATGGATTTGCTGGATTTAGCACATAAAAATACAGGACGTCTAGTTAAATTTCAGGTAAACGAGGATTATTTTTAGTGTAAGTATATAGCCTGTACAATATTTGGGACATATCTTTACAAAAAAGTATGAGTATGTTTCATACACTATTTGGAATACACCTATAAAATTATGTTGTTTATCTGAAATGCAAATTTAATTGGACGCCCTCTATCTTTCTTATCTGGCAACCTTAGCCTTGAGCGTCCCCCTGCCCTGGACTCCTGTTTCCAGTAGTGAACCCGTTTCTAGAGCTTTGTACCTGTGAGAAATAGGTATAAAATGTCAAAATCAGCTATTGCTAGATGTTCCCAATCTAATGGGCCAGCCCCAGGGCCCCTTGGCAAAAGCTGGGACCAGTTTCATGGTGGCACCTTCTGTGTTCCCTTTCACAACTGGAGTGAAGCAGGGTTAGCTTTCTCATGGGAAAACAGAACCATGCAGTCTGAGTGGCTGAGGGCTAGTATTTGCTAGGTTTTTGAGTGTGGGCGATACTGGTTTTTGGGTCCAGATGTTCTGTGTTAACTGTGGAAAACTTAAGAGAGCCCAAGGATGCCAAAGGGAGAGTGTTTATCATAGTTTCACCCCACCCCACCTTTTGCACATGAAACCCAGGGAGAAAAAGGCAGCCCTCCCAGCCCCTCAGAAAACCTGTGGTTATTGCTAGAACCTGATCCTCAGCCGCCTTCCTTTGTTCTGTCCACACCTGCTGCTGTAGTCAGCCTGTGGCACTTATTATGGTGGGTGTTCACTAAAGTAGATGCCTTTCATGAAATGAGCTTTTTGGAATTTTGCTGTCCCTAAACTCTTATATTGCCTCCTGGCCTTCTTTAACCTTTACCCTTCCCAGGGGAGGAATGATTATTTAGGTTTAGCTGTGAGAGGTTACCCTTTGCCTGCTCCAGCCACTTAAATTTCCCAGAGGTGGTGTGACCAAAGCTTTGTTATGTTGGAACCAAAATCTGGCCAGAGGTGGGTCTGGCCAGCCATGTGGGTAGGAGGGCATCATCCTTTCCTGTAGCTTGGGCCTGTGCTGTGGGGCCTCCTGTGGTATCTAGGGACTTCTTCAAGGTTTCACCGTGAGCCAGACATTTGAACCTGACTCCCTTGCAGGTCTGGATTGCTGAGATTCCTTAGGCTGTATACCCTGAATGTACTCTGGGCCTACCTGTCAGTGTCCTGGTAAACCTGTAGCCTCCCCACACAGACCTAGCCTTCTCAAGCTTCCCAGCCTAGACTCATGAGCTAATGCAGTAGAGCAGGCTGGAGGTCAGCAGGCTCAGGGTCAAGTGGTGGGACAGCCAGCAGTCTCCTGGCAAGAGAAGTGGTAAATAGGCAAGGAAGGAGTGCCAGAAAGAGGTGTTACCCATTGGTGAGGGCTTGAAAGTGCAGGGGGGTGGGGAAGGGGGAGGCCAGAACTCCACTGATTGGAGTAGCTTCCTCTGTGAATAATTAACTCTCAGTTAGAGGAGGTGACCTAGGAGGAAGGCTCAGCCAACAGGACCTTTGGACTCAGGGCAGAGTGTCCAGAGGGCCTATGTGTAGGCTGCAGAAGAGGAGGACATGGCTGGGTGGCAGGGCTGGGGTCCAAGGACTGGAGTGAGATCAGGCAACTGTGGACCTCAGGAAGTCTCCTCGGACTGACAAGTGGCCTGTGCTTGCAGCAGCAGCTGTGGGTCCACTGGCCCTGAGCCCTCAGAGGGTGGCTGTGGTGGCCGCCTATCTCTGGCCTTGCAGCAGCATCACTAGTGCTTTCCTTCCCCCTAGGCAGGCATGGATGCCAGGTGGTGCTGAGATCAGTGGGGGCATGGCTGCAGCCCTGCAGGTCCTGCCCTGTTTGGCCCGAGCCTTCTTGCGCCAGCGGTTCTGGGGGAGTCCAGCAACCCGAATGGCCAGTGGCATGGCCCTACCAAAGCTGGCACGGCAGCTATTTGAAAGCTCTGTGGGTGCTGTGCTGCCAGCCCCATGTTGCACCGGCACTATCCTTCGATCCTGATAGTGGGCAGCTGAAGGTGCGGGACCGGAGCTTTCAACTGCGGCAAAACCTTTACCTGGTGGGCTTTGGTAAGGCTGTGCTGGGAATGGCAGCTGCTGCTGAGGAGCTACTGGGCCATCATCTCGTACAGGGCGTGATCAGCGTTCCCAGAGGGATCCGTGCGACCTTGGAGCATGCTGGCAAGCAGTAAGGAACCATGGGGGCTGCTCCCCACTGTCCATCTGGAGGGAAACCTGGTCCCAGGCATAAGCTGGATTTAGGCTTCCCTCTCTCACCAGCTTACTTATTATTCTGGATCTGGCCTAATTTGTGGGGGGGAGGTTATCGGTGGGCATCCTATTAGTGCCCCTTTTTACTCCTGTACACAGGCTGGGAAATCAGGTGGGAGGAGAGGAGCCCACCCCATCTCTTGCTTTATGCCCTATCACTTCTCAGGGAGATGCTGTTGAAGCCACACAGCCGTATCCAGGTATTTGAGGGTGCAGAGCACAACCTGCCGGACCGTGATGCACTACGGGCTGCACTAGCCATCCAGCAGCTGGCCAGAGGTCTCACAGCTGATGATCTGCTGCTTGTGCTCATCTCAGGTGTGGCTGCCAGATTGGTTCAGGACAGTTGGGGTGTGTGTGCGACAAATATCAGGTCTTCAAAAAAACTGTTGGTCTGAGCCCCCAGGATCACAGAGTGAGGGAGGCAGTGAAGAACCTGCATGGCTGACTTCTGGGTAGTCCTGGGCTGTTTGTCTGGCCTCCCCTGAGCTGTGGATTCCTCCTTTTGAGTGACCTTGTTGGGTGACCCTTTGAGGGTACATAGGGAGAACCTAACTCAGCCTCATAAGGAAAATGTCACTATTACTGCTGTTGTCTGCACCAGTGTCACCCAGGGCTAGAACCCAGGTCTCCGGCTGCTCCAGAGCCCTCTTCTTGGTCTTCCACTGTTTCCACCTGGTCTTCCCTCTATTCCAAGCTCTTAAGCAATGGTTCTTCCAGTACCTTCTAGGACCTGGGCTACTCTGAGTCAGGATGCAACCTCAGGTGCCCAGGATATGGTGGCCATATATAGTCATTGAATGTCCACATGGGGGCACTCTAACCCTACCTTGCTTCCTTAAAGTGGAACTGGCTACCTGGTGGCTGGGTGAGGCCCTCCTTTGGCCATCCCTGTCCTCCTAGATGTCTTCATTGTCTTTATAGGTGGGGGCTCAGCTCTCCTGCCCGCTCCCATCCCACCCATCACACTGGAGGAGAAGCAGACACTTACCAAGTTGCTGGCAGCCCGAGGAGCCACTATCCAGGAGCTGAACACCATTCGGAAGCCTTATCCCAGCTGAAGGGTGGTGGACTGGCGCAGGTCGCCTACCCTGCCCAGGTGCGTAGGTACTTTTTCCGTAGGCTCCCTGGGCTGGTGGAGCCAGGCCCAAATATAGCAGGGAAATGAAAACTTAGCACAGTAGACAGATTGGCAGGGGCCTGGTAGGGGATTCCAGGGCTGACTGAGAGGGGCTACAGAAGGGATGAGGGGAGTCTGCATGGCCTAGTGAACCTCCAGGAGAAGGGTTAGAAACCTGTGAGGAAACCCACTGACTGGTATGAGAGTATGTAGACACACAGGGCCAGGGTGTCCTTGTGGACTCTGGGGAAAGGACCAGGTGGGCCTTAGCGTGGCCTCTGTGACCCCTCCCTAGGTGGTGAGCCTGATTCTGTCAGACGGTGGGGGACCCTCTGGAGTTCATCGCCAGTGGACCCACTGTGGCCAGTGTCCACAGCGTGCAAGATTCCCTGCACATCCTCAATCGCTACAACCTTCGTGCTGACTTGCCGCGTTCTGTGAAGACTGTGCTGGCTCAGGCCGACTCTGACCCCCATGGGCCACACACCTGCGGGCATGTCCTCATGTGATTATTGGCTCAAACGCAATGGCACTGGCTGAGACCCAGCAGCAGGCTGAAGCGCTGGGATACCGAGCTGTGGTGCTGACCGCAGCCATGCAGGGCGATGTGAAAAGGGTGGCCCAGTTCTACGGGCTGTTAGCCAGAGTGGCTGGAGCTTGCCTCTCCCATACTGGGACTGAAACCCTTGTGGAGGAGGACACGCAGCTCCATGAGCTCGCGACTGAGCTTCAGCTCCCGGACTTGCAGCTGAAGGACTCTCTGAAGGCTGTGGCAGAGGCCAAGGGCCCATCTGCCTGCTGGCTGGTGGAGAGCCCCACCGTGCAGTTGCAGGGCTTGGGCAGGGGGGCCGGAACCAGGAACTGGCCCTGCGTGTTGGAGTGGAGCTGGGACGCTGGCCTC